TCCTGCTTCATAGTTTATTTGAGTTTTTGTTCTTTTCAAAAAGTTCTTTAATAAAAAAATAACTCCTCTCCAACTGAGATTCCCATGAGTTTCATCCATCCATCCATCCATCCATCCATCCATCCATCCATCCATCCATCCATCCATCCATCCATCCATCCATCCATCCATCCATCCATTTTTGTCTTTGCCGTTTTTGGATGTATGTGTGGAGATTCTTCTCAGGAAATCCTTCTCCTAATGCAACCATGAATCATCTTATCTGACATAGTTTCTACATTGTAGCCCAAATTAAAATAAAATCAGCTACAATAAATCAAAAACTGCAACCACAGATAACACTCGAAAGGATATTGGATGGATTTCATATCTGATATGAGAAAATTACGGCAAGTGATGAGTTTTTTTCTTGTTACGAATTTAGATATGTTCTAACTGATATCACCTGCTCGTTGTATGATTCATAGTTATTACCAAGCAATGCCCGAACCTTTAATGAGGGCCATTTGTGCCCGGATGCTCCTTTCGCACCTTGCATGGGCACCAATCAGAACAAAGATCTGCTCATCTCGGGTGATGACGTCATCAGAGTCTATCTGAAACAGAACAGATAAGATATAACTTTAAGTCATTTTTTTTAGAAAATTAGTTTACACAAAGAGTTGAAACTAGTTGAGGATTTTTCACTTCTCTCCTGAATCAAGAAATACATAGGAACCACCGGGGCTCAGCTTGGCATCAGCTCTAACCTTCCAGGAAAGAAACCCTCGCACCAAAATCATCCTTCAAGTTTCACTTAAATCTGCAGCTGGATAAAAGTGTTACGGACAAAAACTGAGTCATGTGAAACACAATAAAAGATATGTTAAATTGAGGCTTTCAAGAGCTAAAACCATTCTATCTCAGATAGCAAGCATAGTGGTGGCAGTGTCATGCTGTGGCTTGGCTTTACTGCAGGTGTTGCTGCTGGGGCTCACAAAGTAGTTAAAATGGTAAAAAGGCAGGACTATTTCTAACTTTATTAAATTTGCTCACATCAACAGCTAAAGTAGTTAAAGGTCATAGCAACACATTTTTCAACAAATCAACTAATAAAAAACACAGAACATATAGATTGTTGCAGAATAAAACTTTTAATTTAACTAAAAATTGGTATAGAATATATCATCAGTATATGCTCTCTTCCATCTTCCTTCCTAGCTAGTCTACTGTTACCTTTTCTAACACAAAAATATTTATAGATCAGTGCCTTTATGCTCCTTTGGTACAGTATGTCTGCTTCTGTCTCCTTAAACCTCCAGTCGGTCTCGGCAGAAGGCCACTCACATTGAGGCTGGTTCTGCTGGAGGTTTCTTCCTGTTGCAAGGGAGTTTTTCCTCTCCACTGTCGCTACATGCATGCTTGGTGTGAGGGATTGTTATTGAGTCAATGAATTGCTGCAATCAGCTGGTTTTTAATAGAGAACTTTGAACTGATCTAACTACAGCGACTCTCTAAAGTGCTTTGAAATAACACATGTTTTTAATTGGTGCTATATAAAATAAACTGAATGGAATTGGATTAAATGTAAATATTCATTTAAAAAAAATTAATTCTGGGTTCAAAAAAATATTATTTTTTTTCCTGAAGAGTTTTAGATAAAAACAAAAACAAGGACATTACTTAAAGTATTATATTTTACATCCTGCGTTTTCATCCAAGAGGATCAGTGGAATCTTTGTGAGTGTGTGTGACTTATTTTTAAGGGGGGAAACAGAGGGGAGTCAGGCACCGTTTGGTCCTGAGTCTGACTGCCTGTCACTGCTTTGGAGGAGGGAGGTGCTGGCAGCAGCACTTGCTGCTCCCTGAAGACAGTAAGGCAATAGCGATCGGTGTTTTCACTTTATCGTCATAGTTTCCAACAACAGAAAAAAAGTCGCTAGATTTATCACTACATGCTCATTCAGAAAAAAAATGTCGCTCAGGGGTCTAAACAGATGCTAAATAAAGTGGAAAAGTTGCTACGTTGGGAATAGTACCTGTTAACTGTCCAGCAAACAGAGTGGGCGACCATTAACCAGACTTTTAGTTATCACCTTAAAAAAATTGGACAAATACGTGGTTCTTCCAATCCCAAGCACACATTTTAGGCAAATTAAATTCTGGAATGCCTTTCCCAAAGCCCTAACTTCAGCCCTAGTGAGAGCTTTGCTGGCTTTAATGGAAGACATAGTGCCAGAATTCCTTCTGGTTTGGATGCTTCAATTTTTTGGAAATGTGGTTTAATATCCAACCATATGCCAGAAGCTCTTTGATGGCTAAAAATAAAAGTCTTTTGAAGGTGAATCTTTGCATGAGACAACTTCAACAAAAGTATGAAAGAGGTTAGAATGCATCATTCTGAGCTTTCATGGATATAATTGTCCTAGTATGAATAAGAAAATATCTAGCCTTTCTTTGTAAAAGAAAACTCTGTTAACATCTTGATTTAACACTTTTTCGTTATTTATAAATTCCCACAGTAACAGAGACACTTCTATTAAAAGTCAGATCTCTCTTTCCAAGTAGAGCAATCGGTCAAGCCTTTTAAAGGTCTGATGTGCTGCCTCCAGGTGTTGTGAAATTTTTGTGCGGAGGTGCAGTATGTGATGATCCTTCGCTACCTCTCCTATCTTAGCAGTGGGGCAGCAACTGGCCACATGAGCACTTGTATAGGCCTGGTCCTCAGCTGTGTGGCGGCACTCGTCAGAGCTAAGCTACACAAACAACTCTGTGTTCCCGGGTACATTTCACAACACAGCAGCAAAACAAGCTGCAAGTCAACCGGAGAGCAAGAGGTGACGGAGACGCCAATCAATCTGTGTCTATCTGAAAGACTGAAGGAGGTTATTTTTAGGATCCCTAAGCATGATCTCTTAAGAGAACAAAAGGTTTCTAATCAAAAAATCAGTTTTTAAGAAATTATACTGTTTTATATCTTTAGGCACTCAGAACTTTGACTTTAATTTTTGGGTTTATCTGTCAGCTGAAGTAAAGGATATGAGTTTTCGTTTTCACAGCTGTTTTCCTCAGAAGCCAAACAGAATTCTTGTTTAACAGACGCAATTCCAGCTGCAGAAATTAAAATAACTGACTATGTGTTAAGAAAAACTCTCGGTACAAAAGGTCAGCTGAAAGCAGTGAGCAGTTATTTTTTTTATCTGAGCCCAAAAGCTAAACTGCTAATGTTGCATATAGTGTTTTTTTCTTCAATAGACCCATACATTGCAAAAATGATCTAAAAATTAGTAAAAATGTCTTAAATTAAGTGTATTTACTCTTAATTTGAGCAGGTAAAAAAGATGATTTGCCAATTATTTAAAGATAATTAGATATTATGCACTTGAAATAAGACAATGCAATTGTTTTTTTCTTTTTTTAATTGTAAATTGTCTTGTTCCATTGGTAAAGTGTCTTACTTGTCTCCTTAATTCAAGAAAAAATTCACTTATTTTAAGAAAAAAATTACTGAGAATAAAAATTTTTGCCGTGCAGTATTAAGGAAATGCCTTCCTTGTTCTCAGTACTGGACGCCCTGTATCTATGAGGACAACAGTTACAGTACATACAGCGTATGCGTTTATCTGTTCATGGACACCATCATACATCAACATGTATTGATTTTGTGCTTTGGTGAAAACAATCAGCATCAGTAAGAGGAGGTCATTCACATTTTTTTCTTGTGCCGACAGGTTTTTCTCCTGACAGATATTGCATTTAAGCAAAACAATTAGTCTTTACATCCACTCCCCGCCGAGCTGTAGGAGTATTAACCCTCTCGGGCCTCTTCTTGGAGCCAAGTGATTTTCAGGCTGACTGATCCTGAGATTGTAACTCTGTCAGAGGGGAGGCACTCAAAATCGACCAAGGAGAAGATTTAGTGATGAAGAAATGGAGCTGAGAGAGGTGCACGTGGCTAAAGGCTGATGATACAGTGAGTGAAAGCTTGGGGATCTGTGACGCAAAAGCAGTAGACAGGTGAATTCTAACGCAGAAGATTTAAGAGTTGCTCTTTGGTTGGGCCCCATGCACATTCTCAGAGATGTTATCTGCAGACGATGGTGAGAACCGAACCTTTACAAAAACCAACAACATGAAAAAGTTCCCATAGAGCACATCCAACAGCTCGTTTGGGAAACCACAGAAGATCCAATGGACACATGAAAGAAACCAATACCTCTCTCACCTCATTAGAGGACAGAAACCTCTGACTGGACTATGAGTAAAAATACATCAAAAGGCACCTGGAAGTCTTTCCCAAAGAAAGTTTTAGATAGATACTTTCCTTTTTGTTGTGCTTAAAAACCAAACATAGCAAAGACAGTAATTACTGTATATATAATCAGAAAGAAACATGAATGCCCTGCTGCAAAATACACACATCAATTTAAGCTGAAAAAGAGAAGAGTCTGATAAGATAAAAAGCAGAAAATGAAAACCTTTCGACCGACTTACAGTTCAAACCTGCAGATTAATCCCTGACCAGATAAAGAAGCAACAGGCTGCAGGGAGCATGTGTGTAAAAACACTTCCCTGTTCATCCCACGTAGAACCAGGGCTGCTATTAATCACTGAGATATGACTGGTGATTGTTTTGGCCCCTGCTACATACTTAAACCAACGTACATATTTGGTCATGTTTTAACACATATTTTCCCCTTGGTCTGTTTCTTACTTTTTAGAGACCACATTCTCTCTGTTATACGTGCACACAGCAGCCCCAATACATGCATACATTAGCCCAGCTTCTACAGAGTATTATAAACCAGCTGCGGAACAAAATATGTTGTTAGCTACATTGGAATATGTGCAATTAATTTCCATCTAATGTTCATTTCTTACATTTTACTCTTAACACTAAAGTTTCTGAAAAAGTTAGTTATTTATGTATTCATTAATTTATTACCGTATTTAATCATTATTTGCCACTGTTCATAACTTTCTCTGAGGCTCATTACTTGTTTATAACTGTCCACACCACAGAGATGCAGAATAAAATTTTGCGTTTTTTTAAATTGTGTATTCATTTTGATGTATCTGTTATCATTTTTTCTTTTACTTATCTTTTTTTTAAATCTGGTTATGATGGATTTATGTCCTATTTTCATGCCAGGTTATTGTCTGCATTTCCAATTTTACATGAATCTGTTGCCATTCTGCCTATTCTTTGTATTTTATATTGTCCTTTTATATTTTAGGAAGTTTATAGGTGATGTTGGTTTTATTTTTACAGCAGCATGTCTCTGTGCATGTCCCAGCTTTCATTTCTGCATCTTGTTTTCTATTTTTTTATTCACTATATTTGAAAATTTTAAGTTTAAGTTTTTTTTCTATACACTTTTGTCTGTTGTTTTACTTACTTTGTTCCTTATGAAGCCCCTTTGTAGTGTTTCTTGACAAACGTTGCTATAGAAATACAATTTTACTTATTTAGGTGTTTCTATTTTTCACTATGCATCTCTTAATGATTTAATTATCAAAGATTGGTCTTATTTTCTTAAGCATCACACTGTTTTAAGATATGACTGTTGTCTTTGTGGCTTTTGGTCATACTTTGATTTCCCATAACAAATCAGATCCCCGTTTGAACCATGTGGGACCCAATTCATGCATGAAACTAAACAACAAAATGCAATAAAATGAAAAATTAGCATCTTGGCAGCTCAATGTTAGAACTGCAAAGAGAAGTTATAGATAACTGCACTGGGGTTATCAGAAACGGTTAAAGTTTTCTATCCTAAGGCGGACCCCTTTTGACATCAGGTGTCTGATAAGACTTGATATTATCTTTTAAAGGCTTTGTGTTGTTGTTGTTTTTTTGTTTGTTTGTTTTTTTGCTTTCCCACACTCTGGTTTGACAGTTTAACAAAGCTTAGACTTTAAAAAACAAAAACAAATAAGCCTTTGTTGGCTTGCTTTAAAAAAAAAGTTATTCAAATATTCATTCTTTTTGTAGCATTTAATGTAAAAGTTATTGGATACTAGAAAAAATAAAAAGCTAATGTTTAAATTAAATGTTTCCATGTATTTGTTTTTTATATAGAAAAAATTAAAAAAGAAATAAAGTCACAACTGGGCACTTTTTTAAGCTCTTGCCAAAGATGTGCTGTAGAGGAGCACTGTATTGTTAGAGTCTGCTGTTAGAAACATTTATATTTCGACCAATAAAAATAAGGCTGTTCAACCAAATAAATGTGGGTATTGTATTTTAGCTCAAAATTAATATTTGCTAGCAAATGTTAAATTGTATTTTTTTTTTACTCTGCATAAATAAAGATAAAAAAAATTTATCTTACAGCCTACTTCTTAAAGCAATATTGCAGAAAAGCTCTTAATATCCAAATGCTCATATATATAGAAACAAACTTACCAGGGCAACAGCTGACTTTACATAGTGAAAAAGAGCCAGGGCATAAATTCCCTGCAGAGATAACATTATTTTGTTTAACATTAAAGCTTCAAAAAGATCAACAATCAAATCTCCCCACAGCCTCAGATAATGTGAGGCTCCTCAGGTTGCAAAGACATAAACTTCTTCAGGTGTGTTGTTCTCCTGTGTCCCATCAGTGCTCACTTTTTGGTTATTAGTCCAGAGCAACTGCCCTCCTCTGCCACATGATATCCAGGAATAAGAATAGAAAAAAATTAGTTTTTTCTCCTTAAAGTTTAGTGGACATCTCTGATCAGAACTGTGGGAGCGTGCAGCCATCAGACTCAGCAAAGAGGATGAAACTTCCTCTTTTTACAGCTCTTTGGCTGACATGGGTTGGCCTTTATTGGCTGGGTGTTAACTCTTTCTGTTCCTCTGCTGCTGTCATCTGCCTCTCGTTACCTTCTGTCTGTGTTTTCCAAACCCAGCGGCGGAGTAATTATCTCTTTTTACTGCTGCCACTCAGCTTAACTCTTACATCACATAAAATCTCTTTTACTGCAATGCTGTTAAGTGCCCATATAATGACCCCTGCCCATTTCTTCCTCAAACACATGCACACACATAGTTTTTACATAATCAAAATGCATTTGATGTTTTATTTAAAAAGCAATTTCAACTCAGACCTACTTTTAAACTTAATGTTTAATAATATCTGTCCAATAGACTGTGTAAACAAACCAGTGTTTACTGTGACACAGACATTTTTTAACTTAGATTTGTGTGTGTAATGGATAGTCTTATCTCCAGCACTAACCTCTAACCTTCCTGACACTTGCAGAGGCAGCAAAAACACAAGTCAATGTTTCAGTTGAGATCCCCCCCCACCACCACACACACGTTCATTTTCTTAATCAATCGATTGTTAACAGGAATATGGAAAGCTTGGGTTAAACTTCCCAATTTTCTACCTTTCTTGGAAAACTTTCAAACTCTGCGCATAAAATCTATTTATTTACTATGATGATTTTTACTGAATTATTTGTCTGTCTTATATCTTGCTTTCTACCATAAAGCATAAGGAGTTATATATAGTACAATTCAAAAACTGTATATATAGTTGTAATTTTTTTAGTTTATTTTAAGAATTTCAATAGAAAATAATATTCTATTCCAAAACAATGGCATGTTTTTTTTAACCCAAATCAAAGAATTTCACTGCAGAATTAAAAAGACAAGATTTTTGTCAGAGGAAAGTAAAAATAGGCCAAACATCTAAAACAACTTTCAACAGCAGTCAGCATTGTTTTGTTTTTCTAGTGTAGGGAGAAACTGCTGAGTCCTGATCCTGTAGGTCTGCAGTGGATGCTACACAGAAGACAGGAAAGCTCTTTCTCAGAATCCCTCACTATCTTTTACAGGGCATTATCTCTGTTACTCCAGTTAAAACCAGATGTTAGTAACTGTAAAAAGATATACTTTTGTTTTTTTAACTATAGCTTAACCTTTCCTTTTCTAGGTGAGAGTTGCCAACTGTGCAAATAAACTGCTGGACTAAAGCAGCTCAACAGGAGCTGCCTCAGATGAAGACTTTTACATAAAACCTCCTTTTGCTTAATGCAGTCTATTTGTGAGGGATGCTGCTCTTTGGAGTTCACTCCCTGTCAATTTAAAGTCTGTGACTAGATGTAACTTTTTTAACACAAACAAACCCTGGTATCCTACATACATTTTTCATAAAAGCCAATCTAGAGAGTAGCTCACACTGTAAGTGCCATGCTACAGGCCTGGGACTGTGGCTCCAGCAGTCTGTGGGTGAAAGGCGGGGTTCACCCTGCACAGGAAAACACAGACAACCAGCACACACACACACGCACATCTAAGGGGGATTTAGAGACACTGATTAACCCCACAGTCATGTCTTTTATGCTGAGAGACGGAGCCGGGGTACCAAGGGAGGGCCCATACATGCACAGGGAGAACATGCAAACTCATGACAACAGCATGGCAGCATGGCAACAGTACAACAAACCGTCCAAAAGCTATTTTATGATTGAAGGTTTTTACAGAATCCTTAAAAATTTTGACATAAAGAAATTTACATTAATCACATTAGTATTTGGTAGATCAGCTTTGTTTCTGAATTTTTAACTTATGGCTTGTCTTGAAATGTAAGAACTTTGTCAAATTCTAATCTGTCTTTTTCCATGTTGTGTGTGGAGTGAAGTATTCTTCCTCCCTGAGTGGCCTTTCAGACCATGTCAGCAGGACAACAACTGTCTTACCTGTAGCCAGCACCTTCCCTTTGCTTTTAAATTGTTTTGGGGTTGTCATGCCACAAAACTTTGTACCACCGCATGTCCATCTCTGGAACCTGACATAACTTGTTTCCTTCCTGTGGCGTGTGTTGGTCGGGTATCCCCATGGTGTTGTATTTGTTTATAATTGTTTCAGCAGATGAAGGTGGAATTTTCTGCCGTCTGGAAATTGTATCCACCAATGAACCAAACAAATAAAATGCTAGAGTTCTCCTCCCGTGATGATGTCAGATTCCTTTGGACATTTTTTTATGTTTCAGTCCTATTACCTCTAACTTTATTACTATGACCTTTACAGCTGCTGCTACTACTACTACTAATTCATCCATCCATCCATCCATCCATTATCTTACACGCTTGTCCCAATTGGGGTCGCGAGGGGTGCTGGTGCCTATCTCCAGCAGTCAATGGGCGAGAGGCGGGGTACACCCTGGACAGGTTTACTACTAATTCAGTTCATTTTATTTATATAGCGCCAATTCACAACACACGTCATCTCAAGGCAGTTCACCAGATCATACAGTCAAATTGATTCAAAGTTTTCTATCCAAGGAAAACCAGTTGATTGAATCAACTCATTGACTCGAATGCAATCCTTCATAGTAAGCATGCTTGCAGCGACAGTGGAGAGGAAAAACTCCCTTTTAAGAGGAAGAAACCTCTGGCACAGCCAGACTCAGCGGCCATCTACCGAGGCTGACTGGGGTTCAAGGAGATAGAAGCAGAGATACAAAAAGCAGCTGTAAAAGGCGTCCCTGTCCAGGAAACACACAGCCAGGCAGACAAGCTCCGAGTCAACGCCCATGTCAGAGGATGAAGAGATCACATCCAGCCAGTCAGTCAGTGAAACAGGACTACACTGGAAAAACAGGCCAATCTGCAAAATCTATAAACAAAGGTGTTGATGGCAGCAGCATAGCTGATATTTCTCTCCAGGATGATGTCACAGCCAAACAGGAACAGACCAGATCAAGCTACAATGAGAAAAAGCAGAGAGAGCATAACGTAACAGATTGACCTTACAGATTCTGTACAGAGGGAGAATAGAGAAAGAATGAAGCAAAATAATGAAATGATAAGAAAACCTGAATTGATAAACTTGATTAGCACTAATTTTAGATCAATTCAGGTGTCTTGAAACATGGATTTCATAAAAACTGAGGTTTTGAATAATTCCATCGGTGTTTATGATAATAAATGTAAGTTTGTTCGATCTTCTTATGTTAAAATCCTTTAAAAGTTCAAATATATCATAATAAAAAAGTGCTGAACTCAACAAAATAATGAAACTATTAGTAGTTACCAAGTTTGCTTTATTGTTCTATTTTTATTTTATTTGTTGTCACTTTACAATGCTTTTATTTTGATATGTCAGTGTGTGACGTCACTGACACCTCGGAAGTAGTAGTTTCACAACAAGGGCAGCTTCCTGTACTTTTTTCTCCTGAGCTGTCAAAACTGTAAGCAAACTTGAAGTTTTTTTTATGTCTTTGTTTAAAAAAAATGAATGTTAATTATAGTTGAATGAGTGGTTTAAGGGCACAGAGGTGCGGCTGTAGGAAGCGGGACAGTTTCCACATGTGCAGCAGGAGCACCGGTGTTCTCTGTGGTCACTGAGTGGGTGTGAAGGGCATGCTGGGATCCACGCTGCTCGGGGCTCTGCGGACCCTGCGCTCACCAACACTGGTCGGTTCAGCTCTGCGGGCTTCCTGCGGGGCTTCCCCGGTGTGGAGGACGCCTCCTGTCCGCAGGCTGCAGCTGTGCTCCGCCTTGTGCGCAGGACACAACAAATGGTCAAAGGTGAAGAACATCAAGGGACCCAAAGATGAGGCGAGAGGAAAAATGTTCATGAAGTATGGGATGTTGATAAGAATAGCTGTGAAGGGTGAGTTCCATATGCTGTCATATATATATATATATATATATATATATACAAATACCTACATACATAAGAAAAAAAAGGAATTGTTGAAATAAATTTATGCTAATTCTAATTCAATAATGGATTAATCATTCATTGGTATAAATTAGTTGCCTTGCAGCATGTTGGTTCTGGGTTCAATTCCCAGCCCAGCATGGAGTTTGCATGTTCTCCCCAAATGTGCGTGGGTTCTCTCTGGGTACTCTGGCTTCCCACCACAGTCCAAAAATATGCTTGTTAAGTTAATTGGCTTCTCTAAAAAAAAATCTACTTAGGTGTGTGTCTAGGATAGACTGGTGACCTGTCCATCCAGAGTGTACCCCGCCTCTCGCCCATTGACAGCTGGAGATAGGCACCAGCAACCCCAGCAAGGATAAGCGTGATGGAAAATGGACAGATGGATACATAGTTATTCCAAAATTGTAAAGAGCACATATATACATTTAGCATTTTGCATAAATATATATGTATGTTGTGTGTGTGTTTTACTTCTTCTTGTAAATGATGTCATATGTTTTAAATGTATTTTTTATATGCAGAAGGAGGATCTAACCCAGACCTGAATATAAACTTGGCCAACCTACTGGAACAATGTAGGAGCAAAAACATGCCCAAAGCATCTATAGATGCAGCGATCAAGAGTGCGGTAGGTTCAGCACTCCATGCTGCCCTACAGTTGTTTTTTTTGTTTTGTTTGTTTTTTGTGTGTGTATAATAATTTTTTATGATTTTTAGTAAATTTCTTGATAAAATGTTGGACTTGAAACGAAACACATTTTCAGCCTGAATGATTAAAGTGTAAAAGTTATAACGAAAAAGAAAGAAAAGATAAATAAAACAAATGCAGATATTTTTAAAGAAGCGAGTTAGAACTTAAAGTATCAATCTTAGAAATAGCAACATGTTTTTTTTATATCATCAAATCATTTTTTACAATGAGATGCTGATGAGGTGCATTTTATATTTATAATTTAGCGAAGAAAGCTGCAGGTTTGTCTTAACTGTAGATTTTTCTTTACTATATGCTTCTTTACATGCTTTAACCAAGAAAATATTGGAGACATTTTTCTAACTCCCAGGTTA